CCAAACAAAATCACTCATGTCTCCTGCAGTACTCGGTGCAGTTGACTATCATTGAAACCCTACAGGGGAAGGGAAGTTTCTGAGTCTTCCAGAACCCACTAACAGTAGTTACATCATTATTTGAATTAGAAAGGGGAATGAATATAAACTAAGACATTATACAAACTACATATGCTCTTTTTCTTTGAAGTAAATTTTCCAAACTCATTCTTTTAAACTGTTTTTCCACACTGCCTTCTTTTTGGCAGGAGATTTATGGTCAGTTTGTACAGAACCTTGCACACAAAATCCTGATAAGTGATTAAGACTCATTTGCACCCTATTAACGTTATTTCCATTAACAGTTCAGACAATCAGTACTATATAGTGCACAGTGTGTTGTACTGGTACTCACAAATGGGGTCTTTGCTTGAATCTGTAATTGCCGCATAATCTTCGGTGAGCCAGCAGACTTCAGTTTTACTGTTTCTATACTCCTATTCTCCTTCCCCCTCCTGATGTATGTTAGCAAATAAACTTACTGTTTCTGCAATGTGCAGCAAAATTTAGTGTCAGATCTTGAATGGGCTTTTTATGCTTTGCTATGGCTTACCAGACAAAGATATTTGAAAGAACTGCACAGAATTTGGTACAATTTTACTTCCATTTAAAAGTAGTCCCTGTAAAAGTAAATTCTAAGCCCTCAAAATTTCATGGAGAGAGAAGCAAACAGTCTATTAAACTGAACTATGACTAGAACTGTGCAAAATATTTGCAAATAACCCTTAGAAAATTTCTCTAGATTTAATATTTCTCTCTAATATTATGTTAAAACTATGCTCTTTGTAAAGACTGGTTGTGAATAATTTTCATGGAAGGGATTTCAGGAAATAAATGTTTTTTCTAAGAAAAGATACCATGTTCTGACAACATTATATTCAGTAAATAAATGAAACATGAAGAAAAACCTGTGGGCCAGTTTTAAGGACTGGACTTTCAATTTCATTATCATCTTGCTGTAACAGCTCAGAAAAGTTAGTGTTCTTATTGCTGGTGCAATTTTCTCTGGCTTTGGCTATTTCATGGTAAGCTGAGTTGTTTTCATACGCTTATATGTTTATTTTATATACTTTTTAGGGACAATGTATGTTTTAAAATAATTGTGTCAAGCAATTTTTATGTCAGATAATTCAATCTGTAATAAAATGAGAAAGCATAAAATATTTTTTATCTTAAAACTGCTGCAAATTCAAAACAGAAACAGAGCAAAATTGTCAGCCCTCTGTTAGTTTAGGAATTCATATTTAAATTCATATTAAAGACTTGGCCATAATACAACCCAAATGGGAATTTATTTACTTGGTTATTTATATTTCCTCTCATATACTATGTTTTAATTTTGCCTTTGACTTTATAAGAGATCCCAGTTGGGAATGCTGACTTAGCAGTTCTCTTATTTTTAAAGACTGTAGACAATAAAGCCCAACATGGAGTATGCAGCTGAATTTGTGTCTAGACCACAAAAACAAATAATATAGACATGCATATAGTCATGTTTTTCTATAAACATGAAAAGGTGGTGAATGGTATGGAAATAACCTTCATTTTCTCCCAAGCAGATGTTAGCACCTGCCTGGTAAAGCACACGCCAGAAGATAGAATCTCATGGAGAAAGCTGCACACCTGCTTGAAACGGTGGTAAGTCATAAGGCAAATGTGACTAAAAATCCCTGAATGTGATCCTGCATTGCTTCTTTCATGGAATACAGAAACCAGGGGTAAAGAAATGTGACTGGATTGACTTTATCTTGCACAGTTTATTTTCCTGAGGTCTATGAATAGCCATCAGAACTGTTTATCTGAAAAGCAAAAGTCTTCAGTTTCTCAAATTATCTTTTATTAATATAACAGTGCAATAACTATTAGTTGGATTTTATTGTTCTAATTTCTTTGAGGTTCACAAAGTTTGCAAGGGAATGTAACCATCCCCAGCCTATTTCTAGTACCACAGAGACCATAGTTTATGGTTTTTCCGCATTTACATCCATCACATTTGCATGAATACAAAAGGAAACCCAGAATATCATGTCTAGGAGACACTGTCGCCCCTGCAGACAGCAGAATATTTATTCAAATAATTGACAATTGGAAGAAATATGTTACCAGCATGAAGACCTGGAGGAGTCAGTTTGAGATTAGTTAAGAGGCATCCACTTTCCTGTTCACCAAACAAAATACAGGAAATAAGAGATTTACCTTCAATATGCTGAATGGTCTTAACTAACACTTGAGAAGTGTAAGACTTTTAACCAACAAATTATCCTATAACATGTAAAAAAAGAGTCCAAGCATACATAAAATTGCACAGTAGTAAAACTCCAAAGGTTATATTTAATTATTATTTTGATATTCACTAATGCCTGCATGTTCATTTGTGTATGAGAGTTCTGCAGGAAATATGTAAAAACATCCTTTTTACAAAAAATTGTATGCTAAATGAGGTAGTGTTCAGTGTAGAAAATAGGTGTTTCACACAATGCTTAGAATAATGTAGAAAAGTGTTTTATTCTTGTGAAAAAGGGCATAGTCCTGCTGTACTGAATGATTCTTAAAGAGAAATTAAACCTGCCATTTGTGAATTGCATTGAGTTTTCTCTGATTGCTCCCTACTCAACTAAGGAAGTTTAAAATGTTCTTATTCACCTTGAAAATTACTGTCTACTTCAAAGGGAACTCTAAGTATAATCCACTTAATATTACAAGGCTCTTGTGTGATAATAGGGCAAATCTTACCAATAGAGAAGATTTCTCTTTGCCAAATGCTTTTCTATAACAAAGGAAATGATTGTTATGAAATAAAGGATAAAGGGCTTTAAAGGGAAAGAAAAATATCCAAAAGAAGGGTATTGTTTGAATCTGGAGAATGAAGATTCTTTTAAGAATAGGATTACTTGGAAACTAATTTTTCTGATATTTTACACAATCTCTACTGAGACCTGGTGACACAGCAAATGAGCTCATTTTATCAGAAGTCCAGCTCCTTGTGATGCTTATGACTCTCTAAGATGGATTTTCTGATCTTTACCTGAGTGAAGTTTTTCTACTTAGATTACTGAAAATCCTTCAAATCCTTGTAAAGGATGATCTACCTAGTTTCCTGATTTACCTTGAGCTCTCTGAGAGAACCAGTATGATAGCAGCATTATAAGGAATTGAGAATTGATCATATAAATTCTCCTACAATAATTCATCCTGAAAAACTGAGCAGCAGTTCCAGTTGACACTGAAAAAGGGTAAATATCTCTCCTTTTCTACTTTTAACGGTTCTTCTGTCAGTGTCCTGCCAAGCCAGGGAGTTCTGCAGGCGAAAGGGACAAGAAGATGGGAGAAGATACGGCATGTAACAGAATTATACAGTGTCTGGGAGTAAAATCTACCATTATTTTTCCTACAAAACTTATACTCTCTAGTTTCAGTATTCATTTAATTTTCAGTACACATATATATAATGTGTGTGCACAGAAACAAGCTTCCACTTTTTTTCTTGAAATATGAGAAGGCAAACCATTTTGTAATTGTGAATACCCTGGTTTTCTGCTGTTGCATTAACAGCTTATACTTGTACACTCTAGTTTCTGTGAAGATGTAAGTCTGCTCATTTGCATTTTAAAGAGATCTTAGTATTAACATATTTGACAATAAATTAAATAGAAAACAACTTATAGTCTCTGGATCCTCTGTCAATCAAGGTAGTGTATTTGTGTTTTAGATCCTAGGACTGCACAGTGGGTGACTTTAATTAAAGTTATCCAAACTGATTTGTTGATTGACTAAAATCTATACCTTATTTTCTTCAGATAATTGATTGACTAAATACATCACAGGTACATCCTAAACATTCACAACAAATCTAGGAGGTCTTCCATGAAACTTGGGTGGAATGCCAAGGCATGCATCATCAAAGGAAATTAAATATTATATCACTAGTTAGAGGAACAACTTGGTAAAAAGCATTCAAAGCTTATTAGAGCTGCTGACCAGAAGATAACAAAACAGAATAGATGTATTTAAGTTTCTTCCAAACTTTCCATTCTATCCCATCTATCCCCTATGGACATGGACACATTGGTGTGGGTCCAGAGGAAGGCATGAAAAGGATCAGGGGGCTGAAGAACCTCTCTCATGAGGACAGGCTGAGAGCATTGGGGCTGATCAGCCTGGAGAAGAGAAGGTTCCAGGGAGACCTTAGAATGCCTTCCAGTACCTGAAGGGTCTGTAAGAGGGCATGTAGTGATAGAAGAGGAGATGTCTTAAACTAAAAGAAGGTAGTCTTAGATTAGATATCAGGAATAAAGTCTTTACTGTAAGTTTGATGGGGAACTGGCACAGGTTGCCCAGATGTGGATCACCCATCCCTGGTAGTGCTGAAAACAGGTTGGATGGGGCTCTGAGAAATCTGCTCTAGTGGAAAGTGTCCCTGCCCATGGCAGGAGGGTTGGAACCAGATTTTTAAGGTGCCTTCCCACCCAAACAATTTTATTACAGGATTCAATTTTTCATATCTATTGTTGGAAGATTAAGAGGCAGACAGATGTTTTGCATATCTGTGGTTACAGGCATGTGTTATTGTCCACAATCAACAGTTTCAACTTTCTTGGTTTTTGGCACTGTGTTTTTGAGATATGTTATCTTTGATAACAATAGGACACGGTGGAGGAAATATCTGTTCAGAAAGTAAAAGAAGAGAGGGGAGTACAGTCAGCTTCCTAGCAGCTACATGTAGTAACTTGTACTGTTAGTCTGTCTATGACTTTGGAAAAGCATCTTTCAGTTTCTCTGTATGTTAATTCAAATCTCTTCTTCCATTGTCTCTAAAGCAGCAACAGCAATGCTGACTTTCTGCAGGTTATAACATTTCTAGGACATAGAATTCACTTCACTTCTCAGATTTTGGTGTGTGCATCTTTATAAAATGATTTAAAAGAGGGTGGGGGGGTGTGTTTTGTTTTGTTTTTGTTTACCTGTGACTAAACTGGATACAATTAGTGGCAGGACCAACATCTGCAGCATTCTCATGAGTAGTTCTCCTGGAAACGAAAAGTACTTCACTTCCCGGTAGCTCATCTTGTATGATCGAAGAGAAAATCCCAGGATTACACCTGAAGGGAAGAAAGATCATAACTCAGTCTTTTAAAGAAGTAAACATCTAAACATGGACATGTGTAAAGTACTTACTGGACATATCTCATTGTAACCTGCAGTTTTTCCTACACTGATTTACATTCTCCAGTATTGTCTACTACTAAGAGTAGCCCTCCTGGAAATGTTATTTTCATGGTTTAGGAATGGTGTTCCCAATTTAGTGTTCCCAGGGAAACACTGCAAACTACATCCTGCTTACTCAGTCCCCTGCTCCCCTACTCCCTCCCCCTGTGGTGGGATAGAGAGTTGAACTGGAGGCACAAAATGTAGACATCATGCATTGAGACAAAAAAAATTTACTGAAGACAAAAATGAAATAGGAAAAAGAACAGTAATAGTTTTAATAGCAAAGTGTGCAAGAGGTGAATGATTCACTCACAAGTGCTCACCATACAGAAATCCCCAACACACTCCAAGAACCAGAAGGGACTCCTTCCCGTGACCCCAGAAAATGACATCAGGTGGTATAGAATAACATCTGGGTCCTGGCCAGGCTGCCTCCTGGCTACTGCAAAAATTAACCCTCTCCTGGCCAGAATCAGGACAGTTATTCAGAAGGATTTTTGTACTGCTATTTTTTAAAATCTGGATGACTGTCAAAGTCATCTTGAGTGCTAATGAAAAGGAAACAATCATTGCTACTGTAGCCAAGTGTCTTGAATTCTGGGATTTTGAGTGTAATCATATATGCAATGCACATACATACTAGCTACCAGTCTTCAGAAATTTTGCCCATGCCTGTTTACTCTTTGGGGCCTGATCCTGCAGATGTGCTTCAGATTGAAGGAGATAACCAGGACAGAAGTATTCAAGAATCCCCTTGTGGTTTAGTCTTTTCACAGTCAAAAAGGAGCAGGAGGTAAGCATCTTTACACAAGCCTACCTTCAGGAGTACTGACACTAGCAAAGAAGCAGATAATCAGGGCTGAAAGGCCTTACTGGGTGATTAAGTGGTGGGTTTCAATGCCTGAGGGACAGGAGCAAGGGAATGACTGGATCCATTTATCTTGCTGGGAAGAGATAAATGATGCTTGAGATACATTTACAAATGGAAGCCATAGATAGGCTAAAGTGTGGCAACCCAGACTTCCCAGCTACAACTTTTGAGGATTTTGTCCTTTATTTGCTACCAACTGCTTTGTTTGCATATTTATTTAGTTATTTGCTTAGCTGACATAACCAGCTGCAATTTGCAATTGTTAAATGGCTTGGTGCCTATCTGATGTAGGACTTCTATACCCAGCTAAATAACAGATGGCTTTATCTGAAACACATTAACCATACAGATGGTGAAACTCTGCTATCTCTCCTTTCCATTCCATGTTCTTCACCACTGTCTAGTACCAGCATTTGGGTTAACTGTGTGTAGAAAGCTGATCAGGGGATTGATCTTACTGCAAACCACAGTGAAACCCACTGTAAAAGAATTTATTTTACTGGGTTGATTTTCAGACAGGTAAATTCCTTGATGAAATTATTTTGCATGGCTACACAGGCACTTGTGCCTTCAGTGATAAATAGATCGATAGACGCCTTAGAGACGGGTGGTATTGCTCTTTTTGAAAGATAGGCAGATTCATATTCATAAAATATTTTATGAAACTGGTTCTCACTGATGTTAGGCAGCAGAGCAATTCAGCTCCTTTCTAGATCATATTAGAACTTGAGTACATACTTAAAATATAACATTGAACAATTTTGACAACTGCTAGTCCTGATTCTTAGTCACTTTATAGTTTTGCTTTTATTTAAAGACAGATTTTTGATTGGTACTCCCATACAGCAGATAATATCTTCATGTCAAATTTTGCTAGCTAAAATATGCTGTCATGCTTCCTACACCAAATTGTTGACGTACACTGGTGAAAGGAAACATCCATAACTCTCAATTTAGTGACCTCTCTTTGATCATGATTTAGGGACTTCAGCAGGTTGGTTAAGCTAGAGGAATCCAGAAATGTCTTGTGTAGAGCAGAAAATATAATGGTGTTCTAGGAAATAGTGTTACAGGATGGAGAGAAAAGTAATTAGAGTGCAAACGGCACCGAGCATGGAGTTTGTGTTATGGAAGAGAGGTGGCAGGACTAGAAGGCATTTGGTTTAATCTCATTCATATTTTGTAGTCTCAGGTAGCTAAAATGCATTTTGCATAAATTGTTCTTTTTTTGGGTAAAATTACATCATAAAATGCACAGAAGAAGAGCCTCTAAATTATTCTTGTTTATAAGACCTGCCTAAGTTTCCCTTCTTTTCAACAAAGTTTTAAATTCTGCTGCTGCTTTACTCATTATTTTCTTTTAACATGAGAAGCACGTTTCTCAGATATAAAGAATCCATCTGGACCTTTTGTTTCTGCACTTAATGAGCACTACATTTTGACAACTGGGTAACAAGCAAATAGAGCTAGACCTGTTTCTTACTTAGGCCACGGTTCTGCAATTAGTTCCACATGAATTAATCCCTGCACTAGTACAAAGCCTCACTGAGGTTGGTAAGGGTTTCTGAGGCTGCTATAAGAACTAGTCCTTATGCTATGCTATAAGGGCTTGATTATCTGTGCCACTACCATCCAGGCTGTACAAAGTGACCTGATATGGCTGTTTGAATGAATATTATTGGTAGTGAGTGTGAGTTTCTGAAGTTCCACGTAAACCTGTTGAGCCAAAAATGATTGTTTTTTTTTTTTGTCCTAACATGCTCTGTGCATAATTACAGGGTTTCCCAGCACGGCAGTTTACAGAAAGAATTTCTGCAATGTGAAAAAAAATGTGCCCTGGTAGTGTATTATGTTGAAATGGGTCAACACACAAGAGCTACTTATTCTTCAGCCCTAGTCTTAGCACTGCTATTGATCTGTATGCAGTCATGCCCAAGACATGAGAACCTTTCTCTGACTCAGTTTGGCTGATGAAATATAGATACAGAAGTAGTTGTTTCACAGATATTTCTGAAAATAGGTTATGTTCACACAGAACAAGCAGAAATTTAGACAAATTATTTCCTCATTGTAGTGTTTGATAATGAATGCAGGCATTCATTGATAAAGTATGATTTTACCAGTTCTTCTTGATTTTAGAAAAAATTAAGATTTAACTTTATTTCCTCTTCTGAGTCTGAATAACTAGGTAGTGGGTATAATATCCCATCTGACAAAATTTAATTAACTAAATTCTTGAAGTAGAAAACTGAAATTTGGCAAGGTAGCTTTGTCTTCTTTGATTTAGCTGCTTAGAACCAACATTCAAAGGCTTGAAATAGTGAGATAGCTGTATACAATGATGATGTAAAAATAGGCACAAAGCATCAAGATAGAGTCCTGAACCAAGACCTGGAAGGAGGTATTAAAGCTTTGGAAGGTGTGCAGTATTCCAACAACCACCCGCCACTTCATATGTGGCAGGAGTTTTAGTGCTTAGTACACTTCACGAGCAAGACTGGGAAGATTACATATTGGAACTGGCCTTTCTCAGTAAAAGTTTCAAGTTTCAGGTTAATTCTGAAAATTGTAATGAGACAAAGCCTCGTGTGAAACAAACTACCGCAACCTGTTGTGCAGGTTTCTGTGTACCCTTTGTAACAGAAAAGATCAACTAATCAACACTATCAGAGCCTGACTTCTCAAATGGTTAACAGTGTACCATTTCTGCACTGAAGGAAGGAGGAGATTTATTAACAGAATTTGGGCTTTTTCTGCACAAAAATCAGTAGTGCCTGTTTAAGTTAACAAGCTGAATTCTACACATGTTTAGTGTATAACAGAACCATATTGTTAAATAATTTGTACAGTTCATAATGAGAAAGCAAATCAGCTTAGAGTTATAGAAGGATTTTTGAGGTGTTCTTCTCAGTGATACAGTTAAATTTATGGAAAAATTTATTTGTATATAATCCTGATGATAACGAGAACAATCTAACAAGCTAAACCATTTTATTGCATTGATTTTATACCAATGTAGATGTTCAAAATTAAATTCAATATGTATGAATACAGTGAAGAGAGGACTTAAAACTTGCATGGAGTAGAAGATGAAAATAATTCTGGCAGTTAGAATAATAGAATGGAAATTGTTATGGTAAATGGTAGTTATGATTTGGAATTCTTTATTCAAAAAATAGGAATATATTGATGAATGGCCTACAGTCTTCACTTCTAGATGCTGATTACCAGAAAGGAAACAATAAAGTCTTCATGTCAGATGTTAAAAACTATGGATATACTTGTATGGCTAAAAAAACCACAAAACCTTCGATATAAAATGCCTTAATTAATATCAAAGTGTGATGAAATAAGTAATAAAATCAGGGTCTAAAGTAGCAAGACAAAAATACTTTTGTAATACAGTTTTTTTTCAGAACAGGTATGTTCTGGAGATGGCTGGTTTTGAAAAAAAAAAAAAAATCACACTATTTCCTTAACTGAATTTGAAAATGAGTTTCAAAATCTTCATTGGAGAAAATGAAGTTCTTAATTGTGTTACAAAAATGCCTTGGTCTCACAGTAGTGGACAGCTGTTTCACATAACTCCTTGCATATATTAAACGGGTGGCTCACCTACACATAAGTTAAAAACAACACATCTATTTTAAAAATCCCAAACCATAACTCTTAGAAGATGGGAGATGGGGCTTTATCCACATCTAAACATTCATTCAAGAATTTTAGGGAAGCTCAAGTCTATCCTGGCCCACTTAGAAGAAATACATATATAAATCTAATAAAAAAGATTTCTTTTTTCATTACTTCAAATAACTCATTATTTTAAGTCTAAGTTATTGAAATGAATTCTTATGAGCTTCTGGTCTCTATCTAATTTCAGAATCACACAGGAATTAAAGACCATGCAATTATTTCAAACTTACATTTATTTACAATGCCCATGCTGTCTGCTGCATTTTCAAGCAAGAGGTACAGAATTCTGAAAGTTGTACTTCTCAACTGATCAAACATCACTTAAAC